GGAAGGGAAACATGGGTGGTGAGCCCTACGTCTGCCGAGCTTTCGGCGGGGGCAACTTTCTGGAATACAGGGAGAAACGGTGGAGCTTAAGAAGTGCCTGATGGTCTGTCTCATGGAGCTGAAAAGCACAGGTTCAGGATGGCTGCAGAGCTGTGATTGGTGGGGAAGGCTTCAAAGACAAAGGAGCTGAACAGGGAGGGATCCCCCTCCTCACACCTGTGTGGGTGTTCCCCAGGGTTTTTAGATGAGGGCGGCAGCACAGGCACATAGTGAGGCTCTGTAAGGCTTAGCAGAGAGCAGCTGCTAGAGCAGGACACTGGAGGCTGACACAGGTGTTAGAGTTTCAGCCCAGGGAGAGTGAAGAGACCTCGCTGAACAACTCAGGGTACTTACATGATACAGAAAGTTTCTCTTGTAGAAAGGACCATGCTCCATAATACAAAACCACACACTAAGACTAAGGATAAAATTAAAAGAAAAAAAAAAAAAAAAGAGCAGCCCTGAAAAAGAGTAAAACCACACCTAACTAGGTGAAGATAATTTGCCAGGAATTTAATTGCTTACTAGAACAGAACTCAAATAGTCTTTGAGGAAAGACAAGAAACTCCAAAATGAATAATCCACAATGTTTAGTATACAATATGGCATTCCTCTACATGTGAAGAAGCAGGAAATTGGGACTCATAATTTACAAAAAAGAGAGAGAGAGAAACAGACTCTGACATGAGTCAGAATTAGCAGACTGGAGTTTTATAATAGCTGCTGTGAACATGTTTACAGATTTAAAGGAAAATGTAGACATAATGATTGAAGATATGGGGAATTTCAGCAGAGAAACTGAAAATATAAAAGAGAATAAAGGAAAATCCTAGAGTTTAAAAACACAATGTTCAAAATATTCCCTGGATAGACTTAACAGCATATTAGAGATTGCAAAAGAAAGGATTAGGACATTTGAAGAGAGACTATTTAACATGCAAAACAAAGAAATTATATGTATTTATTAATCCTCATTCTAGGATATGGGCTATACTTATTGAATTGAGAGAGAGAGAGAGAGAAACATTGATGTGAAAGAGAAACATCCATCTTTTGCCTCCCATATGCACCCCAACCAGGGACTGAACCCTCAGCCTAGGTATGCGTCCTAACTGTGAATCAAACCCTCAACCTTTTGGTATACGGGATGACGCTTCAGCCAATTAAGTCACCCAGCCAGGCAAGAAATAATTTTTAAAAAGAACTAAACCATGTTGAACTGGTATCAATGAACATTGGTTGACAGGAGACATAATGAGAAATCAATCAGTGTGGGGTCCTGAACTGGTTGGATACTGGGACTGGAAAAAGGACATTAATGGGAAGATTGGAAAAATTCAAATAAGGAAATTAGATTAGTTAATAGTATTGTATCAATGTTAATTTTCTGTGTTTGATAATTATGTTATGGTAATAAAAAATGTTAACTTTAAGGGAAACTGAGTAAAGCATAACAGGTGACTCTAGTATTTTGCAACTTTTCTGTAAGTGTAAATGATTTCAAAATAAAAAATTAAAAAGGAAGAAAAAAGCCTGAGGGGAAGAATAGGGAACAAGAGTGTAAGCGATGGCTGACTTCCCATTAGAAACGACGGAGGCCAGGGCTAGGGAACTGGGACCGTGTGTGCCTCCTTAACACTTTGTGTGAGCTCCAGATTTAGTGATACTGTATCTTAAGTTGCTTTAATGTATTCTGTTAGGTCTTCACACAGCATAAAGGTGGTTTTTAGATAAACAAACAAGAGAAACAATAGAGGCCAAAAAACAGTGAAACCACATTTTTAAAGTACTGAAAGGAAAACACTTGTCAACCTAGGAATTTATATGTAAGAAATATTAAAAATGAGGGTGAGTAGTATTCCATTGTACTACTCAGCCATAAGAAAAGATGAAATATTGTGATTTGTGACAACACGAATGGATCTTGAGAATATCATGCTAAGTCTGTCTGAAGCTTATTTCTGTCTGAAATAAGTCAGACAGAAAAAGTTAAGAACCATATGATTTCACTCATATGTGGGATATAAAACTAAAATCAGCAATTGAACAACCAAGAAAAACAAGAAGTCATAGACACAGACAATAGTATGGTGGTGGCGGACTAATAAAGGGTGAAGGGAGTCAAATATATGGTGACGGAAGATTTGACTTTGGGTGGTGGGCACACGATGCAATATACAGATACTGTATCATAGACTTCTGCACTTGAAACTTATATAATTTTATTAACCAATACTTTCTGGACATACCTCATACACACATATGTACTGTCCAGAGAGTATCTAGCAATGTAATATGAAAAATAGAGACATTTATTGAAGAAGATAGAAGATACAAGAAATATTGTACATAGGACAATGTTTCTTGTCCTATGGGCATCTTGGGACCTCACACGGTTCTCCCAGTCTCCATCAGCTGCCCCATCGTATTTTCCTGAATCTCGTCGATGACCTGAAATCTCCTCCCTCTCAAAGGTGATTTTAGTTTTGGGAAAAGCCAGAAGTCACAGCTAAATCTGGTCTGTAGGGGGGCTTAGTCACCTGGGAGATTATATGTTTCAACAAAAAATTCTGCATGAGACGTGATGCATGAGCATGTGCATTGTCCTGATGAAGCTGCCAATCACCAGTTGCCCATAGCTTCGGCCTTCTGAATCATCTGAATAGTTTCCATGGAGGAATGTTCAAGCTTAACGCACAATCTGATGCAGATTCATTGCTTTACTTGCTCAGTCATTTTGAGTGGGATGGCCACACAGTACACATGCTCACTCAATGAAGTCTACTGTCCCCACTGACTAGTACAGTGAAGTCGTCATTGTTCAAGCACATGCATTCCAGTCCACTCTCCTTGGCTGCCAGACTACATCGATGCCGTGCAAACTGTTCTCTTTATATTAACAGTGGCTAGACTTTACCAGACAGACCTCATATATGTATATATACACACATATATATGTAATAAGCAAATACTTAGATACTTAGGCAGCTATGTAACTAGGCTGTGTGACTTGGATTTTTCTCCAGGGGCAATGACAATGCTATTGAAATGGCTTCTGGTCAAAAGGCACTCCACCAGCTATGGGAGGTATGTGGAGCTGGAGGCTCAAAGCCCAGGTTAGGAAGCTCAGGTACTCTTTGTGGGCTGGCTCCTCCTCTGCCCCCTTGCAAATTGCAAGTGGCACTTCTGCTGATGAGTGTTACCTCTATGTGTATCCTAACTTTGCGGGGTCTGAGAAGGGAGTGTCCACCTCTACAGAGAGTGGGGCTGGAGGACGGGGGTGGGGGGGTGGGGGGGTGGGTGGGGCGGGGAACACACCAGATGAGATTACATGAAAGAGATGACATCTGAGAGGCTTCAAAAGATAAGTGGAATGTTCCAGGTGGAAAAAAGAAGTTAGATTAGTCAGATAGAAAGGCATGGAATGTTTAGGAAAGATATCTTCCTGGGATAGGCGGAGCTGAGTCAGGGCCAGTCTTCAGACATCTTGTGGGTCTCAGGAGAGGGCTTAGGGAAGCTCAGGGACAGCCTGAAGGTTCTTAGAGGAGCCCAGGATGTGGAGAGATTTCCAGACCATAAACTTTGTTTTAGAGTTACTCATTCCACAGCCTGCACCAGCCCAGCCCCAGCCACTCCCTGGTGGCCTTCTGCCTCCAGTGCTACTAGCATTTTGCCCCTTTGAGCTTCCTGATGTTTCTCATTTGGGGAAGACCCAGAGACTAAGAGGAAGGATTTGGTGGGGTGTGGGCGAGGGTGAGGAAAATATGATAAAGCTCCAAAGCCAGTGATTTTGAGTTTGGAGAGAATATACCGTAGTCCCTCCTTATTAATGGTTTAGTTTTTCATAGTTTCTGTTACCCACGATCATGTGTAGTCTGATATTAACATTGAATGGAAAATTCCAAAAATAAAGAACTTGTGAGTTTTACATTGGGTGCTGTGTTGAGTAGACCTCTGTCCTGCCAGGAACGTGAATGATCCCTTTGTCCCGGTTATATTGCAGTATTGCCCACTCTTGGTTATCAGACAGATGGTGACAGTATCACAGTGCTTGTATTCAAGTGACCCTTATTTTACTTACTAGCAGTCCCGAAGTGCAAGAGTGATGGTGCTGGCAATTTTGATATGTAAAAGAGAAGTCATAAAGTGCTTCCTTTAAGTGAAAAGTTACATATATAGGAAAAGAAAACAGTATATACAGGGTTTGGCACTATCTACATTTATAGGCATCCACTTGGGGGCTTGGAAAGTATCCCTCCATGTGAAAGGGGTAAGGGGGTGGGACTACTGAATTGTGTCCTGAAATATTCATCAGATACTTACTTGTGTGAGCAAGAATTTGTCGAGAGAGAGGCCTTTAGGAACATCGCTGCTTATACAAGCTTGAGATGTGGTTTTGTCTTCAAGAGACTTACAGTCTACGTGAAAACCAAACTAACAAAGGAGAAATTTGTGACTGATAAAGGACTAAACCAGTGACAGACAGAGTTAGATATTCAATAGGTATTTGTCAATTAAATGTATGAAAGTGTCAATGCATGATACACAAGGGCCAGAGGGAAAGAGCGATGCAGGCAAAACAGAAAGCCGTGTGGATGTCTCTGAGGATGTGGGACTAGATCAGGAGAGGGGCCACATGCTCCTGGCTTTTCTAAGCACACCAAGTGCGCGGGCGTGGACCCTGGGATTCTGATGTCTGCGGAAGATGTATGTGCCTTGCCCATGGACTCGCTCTGCTCCCAACCACCGCGGATCGAGGCGGTGGGAGAGAAGGCGCGGTTTTCCATCGCCCCCTCTCCGGCTCAGGGTGCAGAAAAGGGCCCTAGGGGAGGAAGCGCAAGTCCCTGGCCCGCCCCGTTGCGTCCCACCCACGACGTCCCCTCCCCTCTGGCTGCGGGAAAAGCAGCCGCGGGCGCTGTTGCTCGCTGTGGGGCGGGCGGGCGCGGCCGAGGCGGAGCGCGGCGCTGGACAGACGAGATGCGAGCGCGGCCGCTCTGGGCCGCTGTGCTGGTGCTGGGGGCGCTGGCGGGCGTCGGCGTGGGCGTCGGAGGTGAGTGAGGCCCCAGGCGGCGGGGACGCGGCTGTCCAGTGATCCGCGCCGCGCATCCTGCCGCAGCCAAGTTGGCAGACTCGGAGCGGGAAAACCCGGCGGGCGGGTCCTGCGCGGCCGCGCACGGAGTGAGCGGGGCCAGGCTGGGGCCGTCGGAGCCTGGAGCTGGGGACCTTCCGGGCCCCGGGGGGGCAGGGTGATGGGCTACCTAGGGCTGGTCCTTCCGGACGCCTAACCCGTTAGCCGGGTTAGGCGCATCTGGGCGGCCTCGACGTGCGCGGCGCCCCGCGTTCGCCCGGGCTGCGCGCCTCACAGGTGCTCTGGCCCGTGGCAGGGGAGGCTGGTCGCGGCAGCCCGGCGACCGCGGCTTCCCGGGGCGGCTGCCGCGCGTCGGCTGCGGCAGGCGCTTGAACAGTTTCTCAGGAGAGTGTGCGTGCGCGGGTTTGCCAGTTAGTCGACATTCCTCTTTTTTCTTTGTGTTACACTTTCTCCGATTTTTTTTTTTTTTTTTTAACTCGGTGGCTCCCTGCGTGAGCGATTCGGAGAAGAATGAGGGCTCTGTTCCCGGGTGGCAGAGATGCCTCTGCTTCCGGTACAGACCACGCGTTCGAAATATCTCCAGTGCACGCGAGGAGCCACGCCAAGGGTCCCTAAAGCTGGCGTGGATCCCTGGCTTTGTCTCCCCTGCTTCTGCACACACTGTCAGCGGCCAAGGCGGTTGGCATTTGGCCTCCGTGGTGCTGGGGAGGGCCCGTGCGCAGCGCAGCCCTGGGGCGCTGCGCGTGGTTCTCCGGGGCCCTGGCGAGCTTCCCAGAGAGAACGCTGGCCCCTGGTCCTCAGGGGTCTTCCCTTGCCGAGGAGGCTCAAGTGTTCAGAGGAGGCACAAATGTTCATTTACGTACTTTCAATGAAAGAAGCGGGGCTCATTGTAACAATTTAAACCCTGCAGAAAGTACTTTGTTTAAAAAAAAATAAGATTTATTGATAAGTCCATTTCAAACATAGCTAATCAGAAGTACTTTGATAACTGCCTTCAAGACCTGTGTGTGTAAAAAAGATTATACAGGACAACAGTATCTTTGTTAAAAATCACTTTTTCTGAGATATGATTGACATACAAAATGTATATATTTAATGTATAAAACTTGATGAGTTTGGAGGGAAGTATACACCCATGACCGCATCCTGTGAACCATAATCTTGATGGAAGAGTTACAGATAAGTTGTTATTGCTGAAGACATGTCATAGAAGCTCAGATAAGTCAACTGATTCCTTTAGGCTGCAGTGAGCACCTAGTGACCATGGCACAGAAATAGAGCCACCAGCATTCTGCCGGGGGCGTTGTTGGAGCCTTGGTTCAGCTGTCTGCTGTTGATGCGCCAGTGGAGAAATACAGAAGGGCAACTCAGCTGTCTCTTGTGAAGAGCCTGCTTCTGTGAACTTAAATCATTTTTTTTCTTTTCCCTTCACATCCACAGCTTTCTGATTTTCTGGATGATTTCTGAGTCTAATCATTATATATAACAGTTCCAGAAGTAAGTATAATAAGGCAACATCAGATAGAGCCTAGTGTGGTTCATGGCTTAGTATTAGTGAAGATGAAGAGTCTATATGTTATTTTGGTGTCTTTCTCTCCACCCCTCAACATTAGCATACCTTTTGTTGATCTGGTTTACACAGTTGTCATGACCCATGCAGGGTTCCACTGCATTGACACACCTAAGTTTGCCTCCGCTGTCCAGTAGGCGATGTGTTCACAGCTGCATTGTGATTTCAGCCGTGGGGGCTGGTTGTGCTGAGCTAGTCCCCAGGCTCCCTCAGAGACGCAGGGTAGAATAGTGTTGAAGGGCACGGGTTCTAGAGCCAGACCTCCCGAGTAATGAGGCCCCAGTAAAAGCAGACCTTTTATATTTAATTCCCCCCTGCCCCGCCCATGCCAGTGTTGGTGGCTGGGTTGCAGGTGTCATCAGACCCCCAGGGAAGCAGGTGGTAGGATGAGAGTAGGAGGGTTAGGTTGGGACACACAGTGTTAAAGGGCCATAGAAAGGACTGGGTATGGGTGGCAAAAAAACACTGTCCCAGAAGAGTAGAGCCTGGTATGGGGAGGAGAGAAGTTGGTTGAGGGTAGAATTGAGTTTTGGGATTTATGTACAAAGGTGATCTTTTTAGCATCACTCAAGAAGTATTGAGTTTTGTGGCTTCTCCATATGTAGGTCTTTATTCTACCCTAGGACCTAATGGGTAATGAGTTTTGTTTGCTATCACCCCATCTAAGTTGATTAGTTCTGAGCTGAGGTGCTGATTTCTCCTCCTGAATTTCTATCTCGGAAACTACGCCTGAGCCCTCTGCAGCAACCCTCGGGGCCTGAAGAGACATGGGAGGAAAGCTTGTTGACTGGTGAAAGGTACAGCTATGGCTTAAAGCCAGTCTGATGTAGGTTTAATTCTTGATTTTAACTCTTATTGTCTGTGGTACCTTGGGCAAGTTACTTAATTTCTTGAGTCCTCTGTTTTCTCTTCCGTAAAGTGAAGAAAACAATACTTCTATGATTATGCCAATTAAATGAGATAAAGGCACAAAATAGGTATTCAATAAATGGCAACTACTGTTGTCATCATTCTTGCTATCCATGGTATCTATTATATATGAGAGGCAAGAGCTGTCATTGTTTCTTGAGTGTGTGCAGCCCAGGCTCCCAGGATGAGGCCGATGGGGTCCCTTTTCCCACACCTGTATAACTGGGAGGCCCTTCTGATTTCAGCCATTCCCTATCGGTGGCTCAGCATATCTCAGCCACTCTGACCCATCAAGAACCGCAGAAGAAGCCAAAGAGGAGAGAGGCTTATACATTTGCTTTGTCCATAAGAAAACCTTAAATCCTGTCTCTGACTAAAGGGGAAAGGAAAAGACATCCACAAGATTTCAGATTTCATGAGGGGAAGGACATGTCTATTTGGTCAGCATTTTGTGCCCAATGCCTGGCACGTAGGCAGCAACATAAATACCTATGGAGTGTTAGGAAAAGACATCTATAGGTGATGTGTTTCACTGTAAGAAACTCAGTATTTAAATATCTGCCTTCATTCACAAAATGTCCTCAAGTGCTCCACCTGGGCATTCTGGAGGATAATAGAATACAGCTGAGATCATGAATTCTTTGGGCATTTGGACCTTTGCACTATTGTACCATTTAGACCTCTGATCTGAGGGTGTCGGAAAGTCAGGGGACCCTCTCTGAAGTGTCTGTCCCCTCTCTTCCTGGGGGAGACACACAGGAGAGCAGCATTCTCCTTTATCCCCCTCAAAGTTGTGAATACAAGTGGCAGAGGTCTCCTGGGGACAGCGTAAGATGGGACCAGGAGGCAACAAGGAGGGGGAGTCTGGATATGACTCTGGAATTTCCTAATAGAAATTCCTCCTCTGCAACTCCCCCCGCCCCTCAGGATCTCTGGTTATCATCCCTTCCCAGCTCTAAGAATCCTTCCGCCCTTGTTGGCAGGAGTAGTGAGGAAGCATGCCCGCAGGAACCACAGCTCATGAATCAGCAGACAGATAATTAACTGGGGGAATGACTGAGCAGCTTCAGGGATAAACCGCTTAACCTGACCCGGCTCCCTCTGCTGCCTGCCGGCTCCTTCACCCCATCGCCCCTTCCCCCATCTCCTGAGCCTGACCCCTCCAGCGGGAAGATCATCGCGCCCGAGGGCGCTCAGGTCACACATGGAAATGCAGGTTGGAGCAGGGCAATCACACTGCCTATTCTCCCTGTGTAAAATGCTGGGTTTTATTTAAATGTGAAACTCTCCAGCAAAACAGTTGATAAAATCTGCCTTTCTCTCCATACACACAGTATCTCCAGGAGCACTCTTTTTTAAAAGTTAATTTTGTTGAGATATAATTTACATACAGTAAAAGTCATTCTTTTTAGGTGGACAGTTCTATGGATTTTGACAAATGCATACATTCAAGTATCCATCACCATAATCAAGATTACAGGATATTTCCATCACCCTAAACAGTTCCATTGAGCTCCTTTGTCCTCAGTTCTCTTTTCTTATCTTTAGTTCCTGGAAAGTACTGATCTGCTTCCTGTCCTTATAGTTTTGCCATTTACAGCATAGCACATAAATGAAATCATACAGTATGTGTCCTTCCAAGTCTGGCTTCTGCACGCAGTATAATACGTTTGTGATTCCTTGTTGTTGTTGCATGTCAGAAGTCTAAGAGGTTACCCGAGGCTACTTCACCCTCCTCAGGTGTTAAGCTAGCTGCCCAGGAAGGAGGGGGCTACATCTATTAAACCTGGATCCAGCCTCCAATTTCTAAATTTTTTTTCAATTGGGTAGATGCATTTGGGCCATATCTATTAAGCCATTAGATTTCCCACGTGCTAGGTAGTAATATCTTCAGGATATTGGAGAGAGTTTTGCAGCAACCAGCACTTATTATTCTTGGTCCTAAAACCAATGGATAGTTTGTGGCCAAATATGGCATGTCACAGTCCTTGGAACCAAAGGCTGTTAAGTAAACCTGGGGCTATTCTGCCTTTAAAAATCTGTTGTTAGCATCTTTGAAAAAAAAAAAAATCCCATTGTAAGTCTTCTGCCTTCTGTCATGCTCCCACAAAAAGACCACTCTCCTTCCTCTCAGTGGCTCTCGGCTCTCGGTTCAGTTAGTAAAGATAGTCAAATATTCAAGGAGAGAATGAGATGATATATGCCCATTATGAGAAAGTCAAACATTGGAGAGTAAAACGGCTGGTTCCCCTTTAATGCTATTCTCCCCTCATGTCCACTATTGCTTGGATGTGGAGGGGGGGGTTTCTATTCAGGTCTTTCCCTCTTGCACATACAATTCACACATATATGTATCCCTTTACCTAAACCTATATAACATTTTTTAAACATACAAAAGCCACTTCCTTTTATATAGAAAAAAACCACTTCAGTGTGAAAAGAACTGTGGGTCTGGAATTGAGAAACTTGTATTTGATTCATG